CACCGGGGTGAACAGGGCAACCTGGAACAACATTTTTTTTTTTTTTTTTTTTTTTTTTTTTTTTTTTTTTTTTTTTTTTTTGTTGTTTTTAATGAAGAAACAAAAATGTTTTGTCCTGATTTGAAAATTCTTAGAATTTAGAGGTTGTACACAAGTTTTTTTTAATCATGACTGTGTGTTTAGTGATAAACCAAATCTCTATCCCAAAAAGGTTACTTTTGCTTCGATGAGTGTAGAAAACAGAAAAGGAACCTGATTGTACAGAAACCAGGGGCTAGCATGATGTCAGTGTATGTTCCTCACAAACTAAACCAAAAGCCGTCCTTCTAACAAACACAGTCTTAATCCAAGCTTTAGTGATGCACTAATACACTCCTCCCCTTCGTTCCACCCACTTCCCTTTGTTTTCTCTATGTAAGACGGCCAGTTTCTCACCTCCCTGTGTGACATCATCAATGCTAGCAGGCCTTGTTCATGTTCCACCTGCATTCCCACAGCTAGACTGAGACTGAGATGATGTGTGAATGTAGCTCTTTAAAAACCAGAATTTCCTCCTCCAAACTCTCTAACATTTTGTGTCTCTACTCTTTCAGCATAATGCTTAAAGCTAAGGTCCTCTGTGGCCGCTTGGATATTCGTCCTAGAACTGGATGTGAAACCCCTTCTCTTCCTCCTTCTCCTCCTCCTCCTCCTTTCCTCTCCCATAGAGAACTTCGGGACAGTCTGACGGATCTGACTGAGAGACTTTGAGAGATTTTTCTGGACTGTGCTATTGTTAACCTCTGTGGTTGTGGGACTCTAGACCATTGTTGTACCAAATGCTGTTGAAGGCCATTCAGACAAACACACTTTGCATGCACTGCTGTAGGGTTCAGTGTTCCTGTTCCCCAGAGCTCTGCCTGTTTCATTTATGACTTCTATTAAAATGACTAGATAGAACAATGAGCCAACAGAAATGTTCAAGCCTTTCCTTTGTTAGTCAACAGACCCACAGCTGTTCTCACACACTGTCCTCACTGAAGGAGTAAGCCTGCTGTTTTGTGTACTTTGTGATTTAATGTGAAGCAATGGAAAGATTTCTCAGATACAGATTAAAGATGCACAACCTACCTGGCCTGTCTCAGTGTTTGTATGTTTCACTGTCAGACGTGCTTTCACAGTTCCAGATAACCCTAACTTGTAAATTTGATGGTAAGAACCAACTTTCCACTTGACCCTTTCTACCCTGCACTTAACCCCACTCCCTGCCTGCTCATCCTTCTTTACCCCTCCCCTCCCTCTGCCTGTGTCATCCTCCTTCCTGTCTTTGAGTTTGCATGCAGTTTGTTCTGTGCATGTCTTTATCTACTTGTAAATTTTTGAGATGAGGCAGGTTTTTAAATGTCATCAATAAATAATATTTCAAAAACAGGGGAAGGTAATCCCTACAACTTTGTAACATTATTGACACTGATCTCTTCATTATGGCACCTGTTAGTGGGTGGGATTGCCCTCAAAGCTGAAGTGATGGACTCCTGTGTTCCCAGTACTCAGTGGTCAGTACTCAGCCAAGGAAGAAATACTAGTGAACTGGTGACAGGATCATAGGAGCAGACCTATGTGGCTTCATCATCAGAGTGATGCATCCTATTGCAAAGCAGAGATGGTTCTGGACAAGTTTAAAGTGTTGACTTGCCCTCTATATGCTGGCGGGTCCTAATCCAGTTGAGAAACCATGGATAAACAAGTCCAAACTATGGAGGCCTCATCTTGCAACTTGCCGCATCTGAAGTAGCCTTACAAAATTAATTTCTCTGTTGTCGAGTCTCGCTCTATTTGGTTAATGTCTGGTTTGGTTCTACCCCAGTTTGAAAGCGCCTTCACTATGGTCTGTTCCCTACTATTGTGGGCGTCAATGTGGACGGGTATACTGTGGTCGACTCTTCCATGATGTGGTTTGCGCTATAAGTGGACGTGTGTGCTCCTGCACCACTCAAGATTAAACTCATAATTGTTCTCCTCCAGACTGAGTAGCTCTCTGGCATCAGTCTGCATGTCTGCCACTCCACTGCGGAGCTTCATTGTTGTTTGATTGAGATATTGTACATCATGGACCAGTCAGGGAATGCTGTCAATCAAATTGCTTGTTTGTAATATTTGGATTTGAGCGGCTTGGACTATATAAAAAATGGGGGAAGAGTCACACAGGATCTCGTGATGGAGGTGACTCTGACTGGGACAGATTGGGGCAGAACTGGATAAAGTCAATCCAGTGGAGAAGTGGCTATAATGGTGCCAGAAGTTACAGAAGGGGAGCGAATGCCTCAACATGTCTGGACTAATTAGGTTGCAAAAGAGGGACCAACAGACGATTAGGCAGGTTGTCATGATGTTCTGAACCTTGTAGATCCATCAAACTGGGTTTTACCCTTTAGACACCCTTGTGGTGTCAAGGTTTCCACCCTGTGAAACCCTTCCCCTTTTGCTTCCTCAACAAGCCAGAGCTGCAGAGGCAAGGACTCTTTAGATCAGGGGTGGGCAATCCTGGTCCTGGAGGTCAGGTGTCCTGCAACTCTTAGACATCTCCCTGGACCAACACACTTGAATCCAACAGCTGAATCACCTCCTAAGTGCAGTCAAGTTCTCCAGAGTCCTGCTAACAACCTCATTATTTGACTCTATGTGATGTCTCTATGTGTTGAAATAGAGACATCTAAAAGTTGCAGGAGACCAGCCCTCGAGGCCTGGAGTTGCCCAACCCTGCTTTAGATCATTTGAAGGTCTGCTGTGGGATCGTTTAGGAGTACAACCAGTACAGCCCAGTGTAGCCTCCTTACACCTATCAGTGAACCTTGATTGTTCACAATTTTGTTGCCAGTTCACTAGTTTCTGTAACTTCAACAACATTTAGTTGTTCACAGATGTGAAGAGTCTGTCTACTCATGCTTTGGACCTTGTGAAAGTTGCTGAGATTCTTCAACTTGTTCCTACTTCCTTCACCAGGGGTCTCAATCCCCTGACCTCAAGATTTGCTGCCTTGCAAGATTGGGATGTATCCCTGCTCCAACACACCTGAATCAAAATAATGGCTCTTTACCAGGCTTTTGCCAAAGTTGATGGCATAATAAAGAGGAAATTCAATCATCTGATTCATGTGTGTTGGAGCAGGGGTCCATCTATAACCTGCAAGACAGTAAATCTTAAGGACTTATTTTGTCCTACACAGTCATATCAAAGATTTGCTTGTTTCATTATAAATCTCATTCACTTACGGGTCTCATTGCAATGATCTTTTTTTTGTGCTTCAGTGTCAGAAATCATAATGGCTGATCTGTGTAAATTTTAAGAATGTGTTACAAAAGAAAAATGGCTTAATACTGACAATATGGGCAAATTAGAATGAAGGATGTGTTTGGATGCATTGATTAAAAACTAAGCATATTTTGATTTGGTGGGACAGTCAAATATGGGTGAAAGATGTAATATTTTCAACCTTCATCAATTGTTTTTGTTTATTGCAGAAAAGGCTTTATTTTTTATTATCTTAAGTGTAGATTGAAGCAGTGGTTGTGTCACCTCTACAGGCTGTTAAACACCAAGAGCAAGTGGAAAACATGCTAGCAACAAGATTTCATGACTTCTGGCAGGAAGTGAATCATCATTAATCAGTGATAATACACCAATGTGGATGTGTATAATCCATTTAGTATCAAGATCTGCATTAGGCATGGACAACATTGTGACTCTAGAGGGCACTATTAAAAATCTGGACTGAAATATAAACTATAAATAATTATACCTGAACAATGACAAGTCATTTTTCACGAGTTGCCCTCCTGCCCCCAACTTTAAGAGTTTGAATCTGAAATCAAACGATACAGGCACATTGTAGTAAAGAAAACTTTGAGCAACAAGACAGTTGATAATAATAATAATAATAATAATAATAATAATAATAATAATGCTTAATTAAGTTGCTCTACAAAGAGCAAAATCATAACAAAGCATAATGTTCTTGACGGTATTTTATTACATACATTAAGTAGTAATATACAGGGGTCTAAAGATCCAGATATAATAAATTTCTTAGACAGAAACCAGAATGATCAACAGCAAATTCAGTTTGGTCCAAATTGATACAAAGCAATCACTTCAACCTAATCGTACAGCAAGATTCAGATCCAATCCTGTATATTCTGATCTGATTCATTAACCTGAAGGATTCTTTGTGTATGTAACATTAGGAGAGTTCCTCTACTAAGCCGGTGTGTGTATTTCTTTGCGTTGCAGACGGAGAGGCTGACGCTGGGGAAGAGGAAGCTGCTGCTGCTACTGCTGCTGCTGAGGCAGAAACCATAGTGGAGGAAGCAGCTGAGGTGGTCGCAGAGGCTGCCGAGGCAGTTTCAGAGGCTGCCGAGGCAGTCGCCCAGGTGGCACAGGAAGTGGAGGCAGCTGCAGAGGAAGTAGCCAAAGTGGCTGAGGCAGTGGAAGAGGCTGCCCAGGCTGTGACCGAACCTGCCGCTGTCGGCGCAGAGGAGACGCAAAGCGATGGTATGAGCTCTTAATCTGAGGAAACCTGATGCTGCACACATTAACTGCAGGGAGACATACACACCACCACACACACCTGATTATTTTTGGATTACTGCAAAGACCCCTTTGACATCAGTAGTCGTCTAACATCACAGGGAGCAATAAGACCTGTCCCAGTCTGTAGAACCTCTAAAGGCTAGCTGCTGTACCCCAGGTGTCTGGCCTCACCTCTTACTGTACATTTTCTCTTGTTGTTCTGAAAGTGTATATTTGCTTTTTATTTATTGGAGCGGGTTTGAACGGGCAGTGGCTGCTGAAAGTAACTTGAAATCCATGGGGTGTGTCATGTTGTGTGTCTGATTTTTGTTCAGGTTCTTAACTGGCCTTGCACTGTCAGAAACTACAAACTGAAGTATATCTGCACCTCCCCATGTGGCTATGAGCTCTCAAGCAATGCTCATTTGCAGTTATGGGTGAAATAAATGTGATCACTCAACAACTATAAACCTTATTCATTCACGTTAATCCTCATCAGGTATATGAGCCCAAAGTTCAAACAGTATCAACCAACAACAAAATGTTAAGCCAGAGTAGACGCTGTAATATTAATGGTACCATTTTGTTCTAAAACCTTTGATGCTATTTTCTGATTTGACCAAACTCTGTTTTTCTTTGCTTTAAGCATCTGTAATGTTGCCCTGCTGTTCTAAGTATCACACAGAGTTCATGTATGTATGTTTATCTCCTACTGTGATACACATGTGTATCTAAATGCAAAGCTATGTTCCAACTCTGTAATAACTGTCATGTCAGATTGTCTAGAGAAATGTTAGTGTCAGAAATGCTGTGAATCATTCATTTTAATAGTTTACAAACCAATTCAAATCATATGTGATCATATTTTTATTTTGCTTATAACTGGACAATGAGCACTGTGAACGGATATTTCATGAGGTCCTACAATAAAGCTTTTTGTTAAACTAAAATATTTACTGCCGTCTTTGATTTGTCTGATGTTTCTAATCTACATTTATGATGGCATTGTCCAGTATTTACACTTGAGATGAAATGTTTGCATACATTGCTTAATGTTTGTCTTTGAACCTGAACCCATTTGATTGAACCCTTATCTAATTTTTGCTAAACGAATCCCCCTTTTCACAGGTAACACTAAAACTCCATGTATGTGTTAGCCACTTCATAATCATGAGTCATTGGAAGATTTTAGCAGATGATCTGTAAACTGCATCATCACCTCAACTTGTGTGCTAATTGTGGAGAAAATACAACTTGAGTAGTTGTGATGTTTAGATGGTTGGCTTTTGTGTTGCAGTGCCACTAGCAGCTGCCTCTTCATTAGTGTTACTGAAGAAAGCTGAAGGAAAGGATGACTCGGCATCCAACGATCAAGAACTCCTACCACCAGAAGTGGAAACACCTGTTGAAAAAGTGAGCCCTACTATTACAGAGGTCTTGACATCAGATGGAGATACTTCACTCAAAGCTGTAGCAATTAGTGAGGAGACTGTTACACCAGAGGAAGATGGAAAAGTTTCTGTAACTGTAAAAGTAGCACCAGCCATGGAGTCTCTTACACCAGTAGAGGTAGTGTCAATGGAAGACTCAGCAGCCTTTGCAGAAGTTGCACCAGTTGTTGAGGACGTCTCTGTACCCATAGAGGTTTCAGCAGTTGCCGTGGAGGCCCCTCCAACCATTGAGGTTGTAGCAGTTGTCGAGGAGACTTTGACACCAGCAGAGGTTGCACCAGTTGTTGAGGAGGTCCCTGTATCCAAAGAGGTTTCAGCAGTTGTTGAGGAGGCCCCTAAAGCTGTAGAAGTTGCATCAGTTGTCGATGAGGCTCCTTCATTCGTACAGGTTGCGCCAGTTGTTGAAGAGCCTTCAACACCAGCAGAGGTTGCTGCAATTGTTGAGGATACTCATGTACCCGTAGAAGTTGCACCAGTTGTCGAGGAGGCCCCTGCACCCATAGAGATTACAGCAGTTGTCGAGAAGATTTTGATACCAGGAGAGGTTGTGCCAGTTGTCGAGGAGACTTCGACACCAGCAGAGGTTGCACCGGTTGTCGAGGAGGCCCCAGTACCCACTGAGGTTGTGGCAGTTGTCGAGGCCCCTGCATCCACAGAGGTTGCTCCAGTCATGCAGGAGACTCCAGTACTAGTAGATTCTAGCAAAGAATACATTGTTGTTGTCCTGGAAGGAACGCCCAAAGAAGAGAAACGACCCAAGGTCCTAGGAGTTGGTCCTATGACCAGCAGAATCATCCCAGCTCCAGAAGATGACGGTACCCCTGCCTCTGAGGTAACAGTTTGTTTTTAAAATTTTAAGTAGCATGCAAGTATTATAACTAGTAAATGGCGATGCACTAATCCTTTTGCAAGAGATTAAAATTGACTAATTTTTTCTAACCTTCTCTAACCAGTGATCAGTGGCAGGTCAGATACCGGAAAATCTGATTTCATTCTCCTTTTCATCAAATATCTCAGCCAAAAACTCTGGTTTCATTGGTGTTTAAGAAAAAATGTTTTCTTTGGTGCACTTATAAGATAAACAGATGAAGAGATGCTTAAATTTAGGGAGATTAACTTTTATATATAAATGCTGTATATAAAAGTTACTGTACCTACCAATGAACCTGCTTAGTCAACCAAAATGATAAAATTACCTGACATGAATATCAGCTTTTAAAACCTGCATCTCCACAAAAAAACTTAATGATTTACTTTTAAGTGGTACTTAAACTATAAAAAGGATTACTATTTTTTTTTCCTTACAGCATGTAGTGTGGTCTGGAAAAGAATTAACATAGCTCTTTAACTTTGCTGTTCAGGGTAGGCGACGTCTTCTTAGGATTCAAATGCAGTAGTATCCAACAAAGGTATTGAGGCTGTAATTATTTGGATTATTTTAGATTAGATTATGAACACTATGTGCTTCCAAGTAAAATGTAGATTCCTCCTGTATGTGTGTACTTTCCACTATAGGGATGTAGACTTGGAGGAAGGTTTTGGAGTTTTCATCATCTGTACAATACTAACATGCTGCTTTTATTTGTTGCAGTAAAGCACTCCTAAATGATGATTCTCACTAGAGGACAGAGGGTGTGCCTTTCTCCTACACTTCATCCTTCAGCTCTGAAATACAAAGGGAGTAACTGGTTACACATTACTGACATGGTACAATGTTTAGATCACCAGCTGCTTTATTGAGCCCACATAGCCCATTACTATGAAACGTCACATGTATAACAGTTGCATTGTAGCCAGATTGTTATGGGCATATGGCTTTTGTTGTGTTGTTAGGAACATTTCCTGTCTCCTCTGTGAACTACAATCTGTTTACAGCTTTTGACTAAACTGAGCCTTTCAAACATCCCAAAGCTTTTACTGTTGCACGTTAAAGCTTAAAAAGTGGAATATGTTGACATTGTGCATCTCCAAACACTGTCCCGCCGCCACAGTATTAGCTCTCAAACTGAGGAGCGTTCAAATCCACCAGCACTGCGTTATAGGAACCAGCCTCAGGTCTTTTTCTCTGCCACTTCTGGTTCCAGGTGGAATCACTCTGACTGTACTTTATGTTTATGAACAAACATGTGAACCCATGAGTATGACCTACTACCTCACTGTTTTCCCTCATGTTCATCATTTTCAAACAACCCATTAGAGCTCTGTGCAATCCAATCTGGCTTCTTGCTCTGCAACATAGCACCTACACCATTACCTTCACAATGGTCCCATTAAATTGTAATGGGGGTCATTTTTAAAAACACTCCAAGGAAATTGTGTGAATAAAGAATAATCAGCATCACGTACCTGATGTTATATCCACAGATTAAGATTGAAAAAAGAAACTAGTAAGGAAACTGTAACTGTAGTCAGTAACATCTCTATTTTACACATACTGGAATCATCATTGAATCATTAGGTTAAATGGGGAAATAAAGCAGCATCTTGTTCTTTCACTCTGTGTTCCTATCCTGTCTTGTTTTTCTATTTTTCTAGAGTTAACCCTGTATTTAGTGGAACTTAAAGGCTTCCAGCATGTACAAACAGGTGACAAACTGTATATTAAGGGATTGTGATTTTTAATGTGTCAAATGTTTCAGTATGTCTGAAGGAAGGTCTCCAGTGTGAAAAGCTTTGACAACTCTGTTGTGGTTTTCTCTTCCTTCAGATTTTTCCTCTTTGTGAATTTCTTTTTTTTGTAGGGCAGCAGGGATCACTGAAACTGAACTGATAGAATAGATGTTTTTAAATGGGATATTACACACTGTCCTCTATGCTTTCAGTTGGATTTCTCTATTAGATTCTACATGGTTGCCATTAAATAGCAGATATTGTGAAAATGTACTCTTGTTTTGCAAAATAAAGAATTTGAAAACAGAATTTAATTTATTGAATTGCTTAATATTTTTTAAGTGTGAACAATTAAATCTAATTAGACAAATGTTCTTGACAGGCCGTTTAACTCTGGGACTATCTGGGACGCAGGTATGTTGCATGTCGGTATTTATCCACCACACTTTAGGGTGGTGGGTTTACACTAAAAAAAGTAGCTTTTATTTTTTTATTACGTTTGAACATATATCAGAAAACAAAGTATAATGCCATCTGCTTAATTGTTTTAATTATTTTTCATGAATCCGTTGCGTAAATGTGTGGGATGGGATCTGGCACCAAAGACGTGAGCTGAGGCCTCTATGTATAGGAGATTCTTGCCCATCCAGTGGCATAGTCACTGGCTGGGCAAGACTCTATTTGTTGGACTCTATTTGTTGTTTTGTCGATTTGTAGACCAAATCAATGCTTCAGTCCCATTTCTATGTCAAAGCAGTGTTCGTTTTCCTGATTAAGAAGGCCACAGCCATTTTGTTATACTCTCTACATGGTCTTCAACAAAGCTTAATTAGGCGACATGTCAGTAAACTCCACATGGATGATGAGACCAAATGTTTGCCAAACCAACACACCACCTCTGCCAACTTGCTTTGTTCCCATAGTTCATTGTGGGGACCCTGTCTTTTACAGGTAGTGACACACGCACACGCACACTTGGCCATCCATGTGAGGTAAGAAAACATGACTCGTATAAAATTGGTCCAGCTACTTCCAATTCTCTAAGGTCCAGGTCAAATGTTCACATGCCCATTGTTAGCAGTGGAAAGGGCTCCAAATGAATTCCTTGACTGTTTTGTGGCTACACACTGATGCCCTGTGTATTCTGTATTCTATCAGAACCAACATGAATTTGGGCCACAGTAGCTTATCTGTTGGATTGGACCACAGGTTGTACCCTTGATGACTAACCATGTTCGGCTTCAGTTTGGCATTTCATCTTTGTGTAGAGTGATTGGTGCTCCAAACCACCCAACTCAAAACCCTCCCTCTACTTAATGAAAGTATGCCTGATAAGTAAAGTTGAAACCCACTCAGTTTTTCTCTAGATCTTTCTCTGCATAAATCTCCAAATTGGGCTTACAGGTCCTGATTATTCTACAAGTGCTTACAAGGTCAGTACGACAGGTTCTGATCGTCAGGATGTTCTGGGTAATACTGCTATTTGATTATCTCATGGGTTCTCTCATGAGAACCCATGATCAGGGAGAACTTGCAATCTCTGCAGGAAGACCCAGTTTGAGATTCAAGCCCCATGACCATAAAAGCAGTACTTTTCTGTGGTGCCTTTCCCCAGTGATAGCTAATAGATACAGAGTCTTGTAACTTGTCATCAATGCTTCGCGGTTTACTAAAGACTGATGCTATTGTTAAAGTGTGTGTTTACTTACCTAAAACACTGGAAGACCTTCTAGGATCCCTTCAGGACTTCTTTGAAGTCTCCTGAAATATTCAAATGGAACTGAAATGACTCGCTGATCGAAGCCTACGGAAGTTGTAGAAATGAGGTGTGAACATCCTCTGTCCCTTTTAACGTTGACATAACAAGGGGACTGATTTGGGACATGCTCACACAACATTGGATCTTAATCATCAGAAAGGTGAAGAGTGATGGATACTCTAGCTTTTCCCCACAGTCCAAACCTTGACTGTTAAGTTGATTGAATACTCTAAATTACTCTTGGGTATGATTGTGTGTGTGTTGTTTGTGTGATGGTATGACTACTTGTCCCAGAGTGCCAATGAAAAGAGACTAAAATTTGAGGGTTAACATTTGTCCTTTAATTCCCCTCATAAATCTCACTGCGGTAACTACAGTTTTTGGATTTCTTTAAAGATTTTCGGAGTCAAAATGATTATCATTTACTTTCGAAAAAGCTTCCTAAAACGCTTAGATTTGCGAAAGGGTTAGTTAGTTAGTTAGTTAGTTAGGGTTAGATAGTTAAAGCGTTCTCCTTCACACTCCACTAGATGGCGCTTGAGCTGCTGCCCAGATCTGGAGAGTTTGTTTCTGCGTCCGTTCGTCTGACGTCAAGGCGGTCTGTGCTTTGACCCATTGAATCATTTGTAGCAAAGAGAGGCGGCACACCGGAAAGCTAACGGGTAGCAGAACTCCATCGGAAATAGAAGCCTAACTTCGAAATCTGTGTGGCATATCGACCTGTACATTCAATCTCCAGAACATTAATAGGTGCCTGCGTGGGGACTTCCGCGGCAACGAGGCCTTGGAAACACCTACAGAAGCGAGCGACAGGAGCATTTTGGTCCCGTCAAGTGGGCTAACAGAAGCTAACTTGGGCCCTAGCTGCTGCTAGCAGTGGAGCTCACTTCCCGCAAGCAAAAGCAAAACAAGGTAAGAGAAGAAAACCCACAACACGGGCACATCACTCTGAAAGCTCACGGTCCCCGCTGTTTAAGGCTATTTACTGGAATAGTCTTAAAGTTTAATGTCTCAAAACGAGTAGCAGTGTTTTAGCAGCTAACCAGTTGCTAGCTCTCTGAAGCTGAATAAAAATAACCACAGCAAGGTTCTTTATGTGCCTTAGTGTTGTGTTTTACTGCAAAAATGAATGTTGACTTGCTTTTAAAAGTTGAATACTCTTCTGAACAGCAGTGAGTAAACAGACCTGGTATCTAAGCGCAGAGAGGAGCTAACTGTAGCCTCGGAGACTGCAGCGACAGACGGGTCGCACTGAGCTCAGATCCCGCTCAGAAAGTAAACACTAACTGCAGATGGAGAACTAACTAGAGTTCCTCACCCATCAGCGTCTTCTGGTTTGACGGACTTCATAGTTTAATAAGTCAGTTTTAATTTTGCATAGCTTGTTTTGGCAGGCAGTCAGCTAACATGTTGTTTTGCTGTTTTCTCGGAGCTACAGAATCGCTGCCTTGTTTACAGTAAAGCTGTGAGGACACTGAGGCTCAGCTGGTACTCGATTCGTGCAAACTCAACATTAAATGGTGATTTTGTGCTCAACATTAACTTGTAGTCAGTTCATGCAGGACCTCCAGCAGTAGCAGATAATTATCGTGGTCTTAGTAGTGATCGGGTACAGCAGGGAGGCTGAGCTGGTGTGTTCAGAAGAATCCAAAGACAGACTGTCCTCTAAGATCTGTCTGTAGCTGACGGAGTGACAGAAAGCTGTGATGCCAGGAGTCCTAGTGACCTGATCTTTGAGTATGATGGCTGGATATTAATCTCCTTCTTACCTCTGGATCAGTTCTCACTCTTCTCCCTGTGTGCTACCTTAGCTTGTAGTGCAATGAGCTGATGCTGATGAAGTTTAGGATGTACTTTCTTTTAGGGCTGAAACAATTAGTTGGGTTAATCAGATGGATTGATTATTGAGTTGACTAATTTAGTAATCAATTAATTGTTAATTGGAGTATACAGATTCTAAAAAGGCCACTTGGAAGACTGAAACTGTACAAAAAAACTATTCATTTTGCATTTAGATAAAACATTCTTTGTAAATCTGTTCTACCCGGAACTCTTCTAGTGACAGTTTTACCTTCACCTGGCTCAGATTCGGTAATAAAAATCCCCTTCCGCCCGCCTTCAAATTAAGCACCTTTTCCAATCCGGTTATTAGTTGCTTGATCAGTAGATCAGCCCTAGCCTTTTAAAAATGTCTAAACTGCAGAGAATAGCTGTTGGCGGGCGTATCTTCTCCTCTCATGCTCCTTTTCAGTGGAACAACCTTTCTCTAGACCCCAGGCAGGCTGGGTCTATGGATGGTTTTAAAGTTAAAGAGCCCCTTGTTTATGCTTTGAACTCTGCTTCCATGTTTTATTGCCTTGTTATTGTTTTATCTGTTTTTAATCTGCACTGTCTTATTTTGTCTTTTATTTTCTTGCAACCCTTAGCTGCTTTGAATGAAAGCGTTTTACAAATAAAGTTATTATTGTTATTATTATTATTATTATATTGTATTGAAGTATTTTTTAGCTGCAGATGCATTCTTTGCTACAAATGATCAAGCATTCACTAAAGGAGTGCTGTTATTATATTTTAAGAAATAAAATGTTTTTCTTGTTTAAAAGAATTGAAGTGTTTTACTTTTTTATGTATTTTTTAAAATTCATTTAACCACCTCAAGTGGTTAAATAAAAAATCTGTAGAAATATTTTTACATTAGTGGATTACTAAAATAATAGTTGTTGGCAGTTCTACTTTCTTGACATTATTGACTTAAAATGAGAGTTGTTGAAGCAGTTGTTGTTGATGAAGTGGTAGTTGTTGTTGTAGCAGCAGTAGTTGTAGCGGTAGTTGGCTTTGACCATAACCTTACTGTCTCACATCAGCCCCAGGCTTTCCCTTGACATTGATCTTGTTCAAACACATTCGGAACACAAACGGCACACTTCCCTCAGCTTGATTTGACCTCCTGACCTCTGGCATGCTCTTCTCTCTCTTTAACAGGAATGAGTGATGAACTCTGTGGTGGTGTCAGATGGAGGAGGAAACATAGTGGAGTATGTCACTGTGGTTGAAGAGTCTCAGCAGGTAAACCTCTTCTAGTCTTTGTCTACAAATTAAAACAAGATCAATAATTGTTTTAGCGCTTTTTTCTTTTCTCTCGTTCTACCAAAAACTGGATGATAAAAGTCTTCAGTATGGTTCTTTGGAGTCAACTAGCCCTTTTATTGAATGACAATTTTGCTTACAGACTTCATAATTCATTCTATTTGTTGTTTTGTTTATTTATTTTCAATAATTAAAATGTCTTTGCCTTGGTAGTGCATCTCGAGTGTGGTAGAACTCTGGGAATCAGTCATAATTAAAATACTCTGAGGACATAGAAGTTGTTTTTTACTGCAGTGGGTTGGTTTTCCCTGCATGGAGCTCCAAAGCCTCAGCGCAGATCAGTCTTTCTTCCAATGACCCACTACAGAAAGCCAGGGGTATTAGAACTGCTTCCATCTGCTGACTCTCACTCAGACACATCTGCTCAGTGTGCATGCAGAGTGGAGACATTCAATACATTAGAATA